CTGGTAAGGGAAAAGAAAGCTATAAACGATTAAATGGGTATTCACGCAAACGGGGGGGAGGAGGAGAGAGGACAGGGGAAGGAGAGAAGGAGGACAAGGGAGGTGGAAGGGAGGAAGGGGAAAGAGGACAGGAGGAAGGTGGGAGGAGGACAGGGGGAAAGGGCAGACCGCGCGACAAGCGAAAGGACCCGTGCACATACCCGCCGGTGTGAGACCAGTTCAGACCCACGAAACGGGCTCCTGAAGGCCACACGAAGTCGCGTCCCCTGCGTTGGCCTCCGGTCCAGACCCACGGCAGCTCGTCTGAGAGGGAAGCCAAAGTCTTGCTAATTATTCATTGGGACTCTAGGAGTTATACAAAGCCATTATACATAAACAATTGAAGCAAGTTTGTGAATTCCGTGTGGGTGTGAGCATGTGTTCATACATGTACGTGTATGTGACAAAAACGCATGGAAATTACGGTCTTCGATCACATCGGTGACGAAGTCGTTCTCCTCCCTGGTCTCGATGCTGATGCCCTTCCAGCCGGCGGCGAGGCTCGAGCAGTAGCTGTTGGCGCCCTGCCAGTCGTAGGTCCGGCCGCCCGTCGTGGAGCCAGGCGAAGTGGTACTCGCTGTCGCCCCGGTCCTCGTCCACCTGCAATGTTCGTGGCATTTGCGATGATTGTGTCGCAGGTATATTGTACATTAAGATGGCGTTTGCTTTGAAGAATTCCAGAAAAAGGAATAATTCACGCTAAGGAAATACCATTCCTGCCATGATTCTTCCTGTGGATCGCAACCACATCACGCTACAAATCATATCTTAACTGGTCTTTCACATGATCAAGTTCCTATTGAAACTGGCCTCTAGTTAAACTGGACCCTAATTAAAAACTGGTTTCTGTAATATCCCATTGGTGTTGCGACTCACCAGGTCGTCTCCCAGGGCCACCGCCGCCACAGTTAGAAGCAAAAGGACCTTCATCTGAAACGGAGAAGTGACAGAGATTCAGCAGGACGTAATTGGTATTCCTGTTAATTACATTGTACGTAATCCTAATTGTGCAACTGCTTTGTTTCGGAAGTATGGAATGAAGTGAGCGTATGATTGAAACAATGTTTATGATACAGCTCCCCTATGTGTCCCACCATGATGCTGCAGGTATTGATAAAAGTATTGCAGACAACTAGTGATATCCTACTCTGTCAGTCAGTATGATTTAAAGGGTTTGTTGTTGCTTTTTGCCGAAATAGCGTTAACGATAATTTTTTTTTGAGAAATCTGATGGAGTAAAGAGTTCACAGATATTCCAAATATTGAAACATTCACTGGAATGCGCCATACCTAGTCCTCAGAACGCTTCACTCTAAAGTACACAAAATAATTTTCATAACTTCGTAGACTTCACTCTTTTGATATTCCTTTTCTCTCACTCTCCCTTCCACTCTCTTCCCCCTCTCTTTCTCTCGTTCTTTCATCCCTCCCTCTCTCTTCCTCTTCCTTTACTCACCGTGATGAACAGTCAGACGATTGTGCTGCCCGTACCCACAGCCTCGCCTTTTATACCCACGAGCAGCAAGGCATTTCCTAACTGATGAGCAAGTTTACCTCCTCTCCCTTCCCCCTCTTCATTTTCCTTCTTTTCCTCCGTAAGTAGGTCATTAATATCCCTGGCCAGATCTCTCCAGTGTGAGGAAGACTGTGGAGTAATGGGATGTCAGGAGTTCTCTCTCTCTCTCTCTCTCTCTCTCTCTCTCTCTCTCTCTCTCTCTCTCTCTCTCTCTCTCTCTCTAAAAGGAAAAGGAAAACAGATAATCAAGATATGTTTTTTAATGGAAGTCTTTAAATCATTGTAGACGATTTATGTAAAGTGGGACTTCATTTGATGAACAATGGAGCTAAAAACATATTAGCATTATATATATATATATATATATATATATATATATATATATATATATATATATATATACACACACACGCACACACACAGGCAGCCCCTCACACAGATGCAAACGCACATGTTTATACGCACGCAGAACACATTTATGTTGGGGGAGGGGCTTGAAGTTGAGGGCTTAATTCCTTCTGTCAGTTATTAAACAGTTATGAAAGGTGATTGAATATTTGCAGTATTTTGTTTGCAACTGCGACACTTAGTTCATATTACATGGCCAAGAAATTCACTAAGGTAAAAAATACGCCAAGATGAGTCCTGTATCCAAGTGGCCAAAGCCGCACGCATGAAAACGAACTCGCACACCTTTAAGCCGCGGCAGAAGCGGCGCTGCGGCGAGTCCCTCTCTGCCTTGACCTTGACCCCAGCTGACACCAGTACTCATGGCTGAGCGGGACCCTGACACCTTGCAGTTGGAAAGCCAGCGATCTTTTTCTGCTAAATTACGTAGGTTATCTTCGTGTTTCCTTTTCGACGAGGACTGCTGTGTTACGATTTCTGTCTCTGAATATAGTTAAAGGAATAAGCATTACATAACTTTTGTTTCAAATTCTATGTTTTTTGTAGCATTGTAATGTGCACCTGTGTTCATATGTCATGTTCCTATGACTGAATATATTTTACAGGTTATTTGTTCAGAGTTGGTTCCATATCTGATGATTATAGCTTGTAGAGGTACTAAAGTATTGCGTTTGTCTTGTTACTATAAAACTTTCCATTCTCTTAATATTTTCACAACTGACCAGTAACATCTTTGATTTATGAATGAATGCTTACGCTGTTTACTATGACTGAGCTGCCAGGGTCACCCTCAGGCAGATTATTGATTTTTATATATATTCATACGCGTCCATATGTCCTTTGTTTCATTAATACAAATAATATCATATAAGCATCTGTGTACACCATTGTGTGAATATTTTAACTTTTTCCATTTCATCCCAATCCTTAGCCATCCTTTCTTTCTCTCTCCGTCTCTCTGCGTATTTGTTAACATTTCTATATTTTGGCATCAGCGATGTCTCCCTCACTGGGAATCCTATCACTCCTTGGACCAGGAATGCCTCACAAAAGGTCAGTCGTGATAGAAACATGCGCATAAATCGTTTTTTTATTCTTATTCGCACATAAATAGGAATAAATACGGACATTCCTCGCCAGAAGCCAAGAGTCCTTCGGCAGAGATTCCTTCCCGCAGAGCGCCCAACTGCGCGCCAAGGGACGCCGCCCCTGGCCTCCGCCCGAGCTCTCAGTCGTCGCGCTCGCAGATGATGGACTTCTCGTGGTGGCAGGCGATGTCGTGCCACCTGACGCCGTCGTCGTAGAAGTCGTTTGAGGACGGCCACGCAGTTCTCGCCCCCTTGCTCGCGGTTGTCCGGTTGCGGTTGCTTCTTCCTGCCGGCGAGAAGAAGAGGAATTAGAAGAGTTGAGAAAATAGATTTCTTCCTTGCTGGTAAGGGAAAAGAAAGCTATAAACGATTAAATGGGTATTCACGCAAACGGGGGGGAGGAGGAGAGAGGACAGGGGGAAGGAGAGGAGGAGGACAAGGGAGGTGGAAGGGAGGAAGGGGAAAAGAGGACAGAGGAGGAAGGTGGGAGGAGGACAGGGGGAAAGGGCAGACCGCGCGACAAGCGAAAGGACCCGTGCACATACCCGCCGGTGTGAGACCAGTTCAGACCCACGAAACGGGCTCCTGAAGGCCACACGAAGTCGCGTCCCCTGCGTTGGCCTCCGGTCCGACCCACGGCAGCTCGTCTGAGAGGGAAGCCAAAGTCTTGCTAATTGATTCAATTAGACTCCTGAGTTATACAAAACACCATTAT